TGGAGTCTAGTGGTATGATTATGGCTCACTGCAGCCTTGACTTCCTGAATTCAAGCGAGCATCCCTCCTCAGCCCCACAAATAGCTGGTACTACAGGCATATGCCATTTTTGTAGAAACAAGGTCTCACTGTGTTGCTCAGGCTGGAATATATGCTTCTGAATTGGAACGCTTAGATCATTTTAATGTAATATAATATTTATATTTAGAACTACTATCTTATTTTCTATTTGTTCCTTCAGTTTTCATTTCTCCAGTTGTCTTTTTCTGCTTCTTTTGGGTTATTTGAAATTTTTTAGTATCCTTTTCTAAATTATGTATTTTTTTAGGTATTATCCCTTTGTATCCCTTTTTTTTTTTTTTTTTTTTGAGATGGAGTCTCACTCTGTCCCCCAGGTTGGAGTACAGTGGTGTGATCTTGGTTCACTGCAACCTCCGCCTCCCGGGTTCAAGCGATTCTCCTGCCTCAGCCTCCTGGGTAGCTGGGATTACAGGCATGCACCACCGTGTCCAGCTAATTTTTATATTTTTAGTGGAGACGGGGTTTCACCATGTTGGTCAGGCTGGTCTCGAACTCCTGACCTCGTGATCCACCTGACTCGGCCTCCAAAAGTGCTGGGATTAACAGGCGTGAGCCACCATGCCCGGCCTTTATCTTTTTTTTTTTCTTAGTTGTTGCTCTAGGGATTCCAGTACACATACTTAACTTTTCACAGTCTATTTAGAATCAGTATCTTACCACATCAAGTAGAATGTAGAAATCTTACCATCACGTAGGCCCCTTTGGCCGTCCTGCCTTATGTTGTAGTGGTCTTACGTATTAGCTCTACATACATCAAAAACTCTACCATACGATATTATAATTTTAGTTTTCAACCATTAAACACATTTTAAAGAACTCAATAAGAGAAGAGTAGTCTGTTGTACTCAACCAGGTATTTACCAGTTCTGTTGTTTCTTTATTCCTAATGTTCCAAGTCTCATTTTTTTTCCAAGTCTCGTTTTGATATAATTTCTCTTCTTTTTAGAGCAGGTTCATTGGCAATAAATTCTTTGTTTTCTTTCTGTTGAAAATGTCTTCACTTTACCTTTATTCCTAAAGGCGTGTGTGTAAGATGAGGAATTCTAGATAGAGAGTTCTTTTCTTTCACCACTTTAAAAATGTTTTTCTTTTTTTTTTTAACTACTGTGGTTTCAAATAAGAAATCCACAGTCATTTGAATTACTGTTTCCACATAAATAATGCATGATTTTTCTCTGATTGCTTTTAAGATTTTTCTTTTTTTTTTTTTTGGCTTTAGTTTTTCACACTTTGTGATGTGTCTGAGTGTGGATTTCTTTGGGTTTAGCCTCTTTGGAATTTCCTGAGCTTCTTGAATCTGGCTAACCACCAAATCTGGTACATTTTCAGCCACTATTTTTTCAGATATTTTGTCTTTATCATAGTCTTCGTCTTCTCTTTCTGGAACTTCCGTGAATCAGTTGTTAAAGACTTTTCATTATTGTCCCACAGGTCTCTAAAGTTCTGTTCCTTTTCTTGGTTCTTTTCTTCTGTGCTCTTCAGATTGGATGATCTCTATTAATCCTTTCAAGTTCACTGACTCCGCTCTGTCATCTCTATTCTTTTATTTCCATTATTGTATTTTTTCAATTCTAAAATTTCCATTTTGGTTTTTCTTTGTATCTTCTGTTTCTTTTCTGAGACTTTATATGTTTTGATTCATGGCAAGAGAGTTTGGCTTTACTTTCTAGATCATTTTTATGATGACTTCTTTAAAGTCTTGATCAGATCATGTGAATATCTGGGTCATCACAGTGTTGACTCCTATTAGTGGTTTTGTTTAATGTGAGTTGGGATCTTTCTGATTCTTCATATGCCAATTTTGAATTGTATATTGGACATTTTAAAATACTGTATTATGCAGTCCTTATTTATTTATTTTTCTGAGACTGAGTCTCGCTCTGTCGCCCAGGCTTGAGTGCAGCGGCACGATCTCCACCTTTGGGTTCCAGCGATTCTCATGCCTCTGCCTCCCAAGTAGCTGAGATTACAGGTACCCACTGCCACGCCCAGCTAATTTTTGTATTTATAGTAAAGTCTGGGTTTCACCATGTTGGCCAGGCTGATCTCGAATTCCTGATCTCAAGTGATCCACCCACCTCGGCCTCCCAAAGTGCTGGCATTACAGGTGTGAGCCACTGCGCCCAGCCAAGACTCTAAGCCTTTAAATCATATGGAGAATGTCGATATTTTCATCAGGTGAGCAACCCACTTGGGTCCAGGCTGCAAGTTATGACCGTCCTCTATGTTTTGTAGTTCCATGTCATTTCCTGTGTAAGGGTTTTGGGGTGCTCTTTGGGTCCGTTTCATATGTGTGAAAACAGTGGCCAACCTGGAACTGGGGTAACGATATGTTTCATAGTTCAGTCCTGAAAGTCTGTGTAAGCTGTTTAGGGTCAGATTCATGCATGGCTCAGGGATAAACCCAAGAGTTAATAAAGAACTTTAACAAACTGCTTTACTCGACTTTCCCAGGCTCCTCCCTTTCTGCAGCATTCCTATTACTTTCTGCCCCCTTTTTGATGCTTCAGCTAGAAAACTGGAGCTTTCCCTAACTTGCTCTGCAGTGTACTTACTGCACATGTCCCCATCTGGGGCCCAAGAGTGAGAGGGCAAAGAGAGAACCTCGAACCACAGCTCCTCCAGTTGGAAAGGAAGTGTCCCTTCTCTTTGAGTTTTAGGTTCCTCCTGGCCTCCTTTGCCAACACTGCTGTTGACATGGGATTGTTTGGAACTTGAGCGTGAGAGAATAGAGAAAAAGGTGAGGGAAAAAGGACATTTTTTTCTGTCTCTCCGAGCATTAGGAGGACCCTTTTCAGTTCCACCAGCCAGAACCAGAGGGCTCCCCCTGGAGGTCTTTGTTGGCATTGATGCTTACTTCTGAGTTTCAAACTGGTGAGTTGAGACCAGTGACTAGCAGAGGGGAAGACTGATAATCTCACTTTTGATTTGGAAGTACTTCAAATTCTGGTCATCTTCCCCAGTACACCAGATACCGTTTGCTTTTCCAAGTCCTCAAATAGCTGCCCAGTGCATTCCGTCCAGGCTTTATAGCTGCATTCAGTGGGACGGCCTAGATGGAGTGTGCTTACTCCATCTCACCAGGAACTGAAACCCCACCGCACATCTTTGAGTGGGAGAATTAATGTGCCCAAAATTCAGATTTTAAAAAGGACTGAGCCCAGATTTGAATAGGATGAATTAGAAGAGCTAAGATGGGAACTCCATTAGAAACCTGTAATAAAAACTGAAAGTAATAAGAACTCAAACTAGTAGGACAAAAGTAAAAATGCAAAAATGGAGGATAGTAAGAACCAGTGCAAGAGATGTTTTCTCACAGCCACTATCCTATGGAATACGTTAATTTAGCATCACTGTTCAAACGTTACAACCGGAAAGAAGACCCACATGGGGCACTGGTAATCCTTAAGGTCAGAGCTGGGACTGAATTTATTTGTTTATTTTGAGACAGTCTTACTCTGTCACCCAGGCTGAAGTACAGTGGCACAATCTCAGCTCAACGCAACCTCTGCCTCCCAGGTTCAAGTGATTCTCCTGCCTCAGCCTCCACTGGGATTACAGGCGTATGCCACAACGCCCAGCTATTGTTTTGTATTTTTAGTGGAGACAGGGTTTTGTCATGTTGACCAGGCTGGTCTTAAACTCCTGACCTCAAGTGATCCTCCTGCCTTGGCCTCCCAAAGTGCTGGGATTACAGGTGTGAGCCACCATGCCCGGCCCAGAGCTATAACTGACTTTAAAGATCACTTTATTCAACACTCAGTTTTTTTTTAGCAGTTTCATTGGTATATAATTTATATACCATACAGTTTACCTGTTTAAAACACATAGTTCAGGGAGGGCACAGTGGCTCACACCTGTAATCCCAGCACTTTGGGAGGCTGAGATCACTTGAGGCCAGGAGTTGACCAGCCTGGCTGACATTGTGAAACCCTGCCTCTACTGAAAATACAAAAATGAGCCAGGCGTAGTGGCAGGTGCTTGTAATCCTAGCTACTCAGGAGGCTAAGGCAGGAGAATCACTTGAACCTGAGAGGTGGAGGCTGCAGTGAGCCAAGATTGGGCCACTGCACTCCCACCTGGGTGACAGAGGGAGACTCTGTCTCAAAAATAACAAAGTGAATAGTTCAGTCAGTTTCGATATATTTACATAGTTGTGCAACTATCACTATAACGTAATTTTAGGACTTTTTCATCCCTCCAGAACAAAACCTTACAGGAATTAGCAGCCAGTCTCATCCCCCACCCCAACTCCCTGCCCCGCCCAACCTAGGAAACCACTACTGTGTTTTCTTTCTCTACCGATTTTGCCTATTCTGGACATTTAAAAATAAATGGAATCATAAAATGTTATCTTTTGTGGATGGCTTCTTTCGCTTACGTAATGTTTGGAAGGTTCATCTATGTAGCGGATAGCAGCACATCGTTCCTTTTTTATTGCTGAATAATATCCCAGTGTATGGATAATGCCACAGTTTGTTCATTCATTCATCAGGTGATGGGTATTTTAGGTTGCGACAGAAATAAGAATGAAAACTGCAATTGACTAAAAGAAAGCTTTCACTAATTGAAAGATTTCTGCCAGTTCAGGAAGAGGAAACCAATTTTTCATACATATGGAAGTCTTCTCTTCAAATATTACTGTTTCTTTCCTTTAATTGATTTTCCAAATTCTGTTTCATAAGTGATTGCAATCACTGTTCTTTGCTCAGATTTTCCCCAATGTCTTTAGCTGTTCCAGCCTCTCAGCCTAGACCACCATGAGTCTTAGCACTATGGATTAGGAGAGCTGATCATCAGTCCAACCCCCTCACTTAACACATGAGAAACTCACCGAACTCTGGTACCCTCTCGGGACACAAAGCCGGGCCTGGCACCCTTCCCTAAAGTGTTCTCTGTTTTTCTGCCTTTCCCTCCAGGTGCAATATCAGCTACTTAGAAGAATGGCTTAAAGATAAGAATTTGCAGAACAGCTTAGCAAAGGAAACTTTGGAGCCCCTCTCTCAGGCAGCCTGGTTGCTTCAGGTCAAGAAGACCACAGACAGCGATGCCAAAGAGATCTACGAACGCTGCACCTCACTGTCTACTGTGCAGGTGACCAGGCTTGCTTAGTGTCTCCCTGGCTCTTCCCTGACACATCAGTGCAATGGGGATTACCTTTCTTGGCTTAGCCAGCTGTGATCACCCTGATTCTGTCTGTCCTCTCAGAAGCATACCTATCACCCATGGCATACCCTTTTATCTAATAAATATTTGTTAAATACTAATTCTAGGTCTTAAAAACACAGAAATGGGCTGGGCAAGGTGGCTTACAGTTGTAATCCGAGCACTTTGAGAGACCGAAGTGGAAGGATTCCTTGAGCCCAGGAGTTTGAGACCAGTCTGCGCAACTAGCAAGACACCGTCTCTACCAAAACAAAAAAAAAGCTGGGTGTAATACCACACACCTTTGGTCCCAGCTACTCAGGAGGCTGAGGCAGGAGGATCACATGAATCCAGGGGTTCGAGGCTGCAGCGAGCCATGATCATAGCACTGCACCCCAGCCTGGGCAATAAAGGGAGGCCCTATCTCAAAAAAAAAAAAAAAATCACACACACACACATACAGACAAATGTCTGTGATGCATTCCCTGCCCAGTAAACTCACAAACATGTATGTGGAGGGGTGGGTGCATGGGAGGTAGGGAGGCTGGAAGAGGCTCCTCTTACTGTATGATTGTCTGATTTGCCTTTGCTTCCTGTGGCACCTTTCCCCGCCTTGTCTTTTCTTGGAAATAGGTAACACAGGATTCCTAAGCCAAATTACAGTCTAAATGAACCACCTGTGCTTCCCAGTGGTTCCCAATGACCAGAACAATTATTTTGTGAACAGTTATTATTTTGCATGGTCTAACACAATGTTGTGTAATGTTTGCAGATCATAAAGATCCTTAATTCATACACACCTATAGATGACTTTGAGAAGAGAGTAACTCCATCCTTTGTTCGCAAAGTACAGGTGAGATTCTTAAGGCTGTGTCTCTTAATTTTACCTCCTAACTATCGTATAAGATGTTGATATTTAATTAACATTATAGAAATCCAGGATTTGCAAGGACTGTTCAAAAATAATAAAATAAAAATAGAAATCCAGGATTAAAGTACATTTACCCACATAGACAAGTGAAAGACACCCATCTCAAAGTAAGCAGGAAATTTTCCTGTGAAAATTTTCAGAATCCACCTTAGTCTGAGTGGGAAGGGATAAAAACACCAAAACCATGACTCCCTTGCTGTATTCCTTCAACATGTCTTATTTCTTATTGATCTTTGAATACTGTGAAAGTGGGCAGAGTCTGAATGTAAACAGACCATTTTTCTTTTAAAATCATTTGCATAATCATTTTTTCTTATATAATTCCTAAAGTTTCTCCCCTATTGAACTCTAGGGCAGCAGTTCTCCAAGTCTGTCTCAAGCATCCCTGGAAGTCCTTGAGACACTTTCAGGAGGGTCTGGAAACTTCAGTTTTCTAAATACAGACCTATGGATTTTCTGAATAGATATCTGTGGATTTTCTTCATGTACTTCAACCAAAATAACATATCACAACAGATTGAATGCAGAAGCAGATATAATATTATATGTATATAATACAGCATATATATTAAAATATGGCATATGTAATATATGGTTATATATTTGATAATAGAATAATATATTAAGTCAGACATTAAAGAGGTTTGCAAAAATAGAAAATACCACTTCTCACTAAATTGTCTTTGTTTTGGAAACTTATGTTTAACATGTATTGACTTATTTAAATGAATTAATGAATTACTTTTATTACTAATATGGCAGATACCAATAGTCATACTCATATACACAAAAGCTTTTGGAACCTCGGTAATTTTTTAGTATAAAGCGGTCCTGAGACCAAAAAGGTTGCAAACCTGTGAATGAAGAAGAAAGGATTCAATAAAAATGGAATACTTCAAATCTACTCATGTTTGACCTTAGAATTATGCCATGAGAACAGATTAGAATAGAAAACAGGTTTATCGTCAGCTCATCCCATGGGAAATGAACTTCTGAAGTGAAACAGAGCAAGTTAATTATTCATGGAGCTGATCTGCAAGCCCTGGATAGACTTTGGAGTTGTGCCGTTGTTAAAAAGCTCTCATGTATGTCCTTTCATGTGATTGTGCAACAAGTCTTCACTAGAGATAGTTGTGTTTTGCCTTGACTTTCAGGTAGCAGTAAAGCAGAACATGTTCATTTCCTTACTAATTTGTCCTCTGATTGTAATTTCAGGCTCTCTTAAGTAGCCGGGAGGATTCATCACAGCTGATGTTGGATACCAAATATCTCTTTCAAGTCACATTTCCCTTTACCCCCTCTCCACATGCTCTCGAAATGATTCAGATCCCTAGCAGTTTCAAGCTCGGCTTTCTAAATAGGTTATAGAAAGAGAAAAAGTCAGTGCACTAGCTGGGCACAGTGGCTCATGCCTGCAATCCCACCCAGCACTTTGGGAGACTGAGGCGGGTGGATCACAAGGTCAGGAGTTCAAGACCAGCCTGGCCAAGGTGGTGAAACCCCAGTTCTACTAAAAAGTACAAAAATTTGCCAGGCATGGTGGCAGGCACCTGTAATCCCAGCTACTCGGGAGGCTGAGGCAAGAAAATCACTTGAACCCAGGCAACAGAGGTTGCAGTGAGCTGAGATTGTGTCACTGCACTCCAGCATGGGCGACAGAGTGAGACTCTGCCTCAAAAAAAGTCAGTGCACTTTTTCCTCAAAAGCTAAGTGAAGGTTCAGTATGAGGGATGTGGTTTATTAATTGGCAATGGAAATTGGAATGTGATTTAAGGAAGAAAATAGACTTTTCCCAAATGGACCATGTCATTTCTCACTCACAGTGACAGTGCTGCTACTGTAATTTTATAAGAATTCACACACACCAGCTATAGTTAGAAAAGCCATGTCTCACTCTCGAATCTCAGCTGGTTTTTACTGAAATTCCTGGAGGGCTCACGTTTTCTTCCGCGTGCCTCTGTCTTGTGGCAGCGCCCTTACCAGGAGGGAGTGAGATCTGGGGACACAGTGGCTTCCAAGTTTTCTTGGTTCATGTGGAGCCTGGGTACATTTACAAAGCCACAAGTAGATTACAGGACTCAGTCTTCCAGGAAATAATCCCATTTGGCCACCATGGCCTGCCAAAAGCTCTCTTGCCCCATGCCTCCTGGGGATGGGAGGTTTTCATGAACTCTTTTTACTGAAAATGCCCTGCATTTAAAAATGTGTATTTTAGGGGCCAGGTGCGGTGGCTCAAGCCTGTAATCCCAGCACTTTGTGAGGCTGAGGTGGGTGGATCACGAGGTCAAGAGATCAAAACCATTCTGGTCAACATGGTGAAACCCCGGCTCTACTAAAAATACAAAAAATTAGCTGGGCATGGTGGCGTGTGCCTGTAATCCCAGCTACTCAGGAGGCTGAGGCAGGAGAATTGCCTGAACCCAGGAGGCGGAGGTTGCGGTGAGGCGAGATCGCGCCATTGCACTCCAGCCTGGGTAACAAGAGAGAAACTCCGTCTCCAAAAAAAAAATTAAAAAAAAAAATGTTTATTTTAGACCCTTCTAATTTTTAAGAGAGTGTTCAAACTGAGATGAATCACATGAAGTATTTTTATGTGTATGTCTATTTAAAAGTAATATATTATTAAAGCTTAATTGCCATGTCATTTATCTTCTCCGAAAGAAGTTTTCTTCAAATCTTACCTGCCAACATATTCATATTTTTTTGTTTAATACCTTTCATACAATAACTTTTTTAAAAAAACCCAGTTTAAAAATGCAACCTAATAATTATATTATCTCTCTAATCAGCATTTCAATGTATTTATTTTTAAATTCTCTCATAAAGGTAACTAAAAAATTATGTCAGAACCTCCTTTTGAGAAATCTGTGTTTCCCAAGTTTTATGGGAACTGGCTATTCCTTGTCCTGGCACACCTTCTCATTCTTCCCTTTCACAGCCCAAAAGCTCATCTGATCAGCACTCCTAGTCTCTGACCTGCAGATCCAGTGCTGTTCTGTTACCCCCCAAGAATCCCAACAGTCACAGGTGATAGCTGTGATTCTATAATACAGACTTGTGTCTTAGGAGTAGGAATAATACATGATTATGAAGCAATATCACCCTGCTAATGTGTAATAATGTCTTTTCATATTATAAGTGATTTCGTTTAGCTCATTTCAACACATTGCACATGAAAAAATGAAAAGTGGAACTTTGTAATACTTTAATCAATAAAATTAATTACCAAATGAATTGGGTCAAATTCTTTCACTGTGAGGAGATGATGTGTCTTTTAAGTGCACAGGTTTTATGCCTTTCTTTAGGGTCATAGTGAAAGATGCTAGAATCTTTATAGATTCATAGTATCTCATTTAAAGTATATTAAAATGTTTAGAGAGGAAGTAAACATGTCATAAGTGCTGGCTCAGGCTGTGTCTCCAGGGGGCTTCCACACTGTGTCAGAATGAGGGGCTACTTGCAGAGAATTGGCTGGGTTTCTGATCCTGAGCTGTGGCCTCCATGCCCTTTCTAGACCTTCCCCACACGGTGAGAAGCCATCACTGTTGATTTTTGGCTTGCATAACTCAGGATTCATGCCTGTTTCATAGCACTTAACCCTGGGCTGGAAGCCAGAAATGCCCATTTCCTCTGTTGGCCTGTGAGCCCCAGAGGGCAGGTAACACATCTGCATCCCTGCCTTCATCCTGCTGATGAGGTGGAAGAGAACTGAAGAAGCACAGTCCTGTTGGGGGATGCCGTGTGTGTGGTGGGGAGTCGACCATGGGAAAAAGTTGGTCCTGGTGGGTACAGGGAGACCTGTGGAGGCTGAGGAGTTTATATATGGAAAAATGGGAAGAGGCAGGCACTCGCCTCACAGTCCTGATCAGTTCTACAAAGCTGTCAGTGACAAGGAGACCAAAATAGAGAAATGTTAAGAACATGCAGCCCAGGTTGCTCAGTGAGGGCGCAGACACAGAGGTCAAACCTGCTAAGTTCTCCCTCCACAGCAGGGCTGAGCAGAAAGTTCCAGGGGTGAGTGAGGCATGCAGATGGCAGCACGCGCCCAGGAGGGAGCATGGAAGTGCAGTGGAGGAAGCAAGCAGGATGAGAAGATAAGGAGATTAGTGGGTGAGGTGCTTCACACCTCAGGCTGCTAGTCCTCACCTCTCACCGTCTGCCCTGCGGCTCCCAGTGCTGACTCCAGAAGGTATGTGCATACTGACCTTCTGGTTAAAATACTCCAGCTTTTGAAATGCTCAGAAAAGCATCCAGATGAGTCCAGGCCACAGTGTTAGCAGGTCTTTCTGTGCGGTGGGAGCACGGGTGAGGGGTTTTGTTGTTGATCTGTTGAATCTAACTCTCTACAATACACATGAATTTATTTTGAAATAGTAAAGTGTTTTTACATTAACGTTGGCATCAGGAAAGAAACTAAGCATGCTTAAAATTACTAAGTTTTAAAATTTGATACAGGTGACACATGACAACGAAAGCCTCTGAGTACAGCGTATGGGGTTAGAAAGAGGCTTTTGTAGTTTTAAGTCTGAGATACGTCCACGTTGTTGTGTGTATCGGCTTGTTCTTTATTATTCTATGCCCATTTCACAGTTTAGTCTACAACTAGTGAACATTTGGGTCTTTCTAGTTTAGGCCTTCTGTGAATAAAGCTGCTATGAGCTTTATGGGTTGTTTTGTTTTGTTTTTAGGAAATAAGCATTATTTTCTGTGGTGTACATATGCAGCAGTAGAATTGCTTGGTCACAGAATATATGCGTTTCACTTTAGTAGGTCCTATTGACCAGTTTTGTACAGTGGTTATACCAACTTCTGCTCCCACCAACAGAGAAAGGCAATTCCAGGCTCTGCATCCTTGTCCACATTTGCGTTGTCAGGCTTTGTAAGTTTTCTGATGGATAAGTAGTTGTATCACGTCGTAGTTTGACTTTGTATTTCTTTGATGACTAATGATAATGAGCACCTTTTATATGATTATTGACCATGTAAGTATCTTCATTTGTGAAGTGACTGTGCAAGCCTTTTGTCCATTTTTAAAATAATCTTAATTGAAATATGATGTTCACACATTTAGTTTCACATTTCAAAACCCACATTTAAAAACATGTATTTCAGTGGGTTTTTAGTTTATTTACGAGGATTTGCAACCATTGCCACTAATTCCAGAGTATTTTCATCACCCCAAAAAAGAAATCTCATGCCCATTAGGCAGTCGCTCCCATCCCAGTTCCCTCCTTCCCCCTTATTGCTTCTTCCTTGCACCTTGCAACTATTCATCTGCTTCCCGTCTCTCTGGGTTTGCTGATCCTGTACACTTCACATCAATGAAATTATATAATACGTGGTCTTTTGTGTCTGGCTTCTTTCATGGGATAGCGTTTTTCAAGTTTGATCATGTTGTAGCATGTGTCAGAACTTCATTCTTGTTTATTGCTGAATAGCAGTCTACTGGAGGATAGACATTTTGTTTATTCATTCGTCAGTTGGTGGACACTTGAGTTGCTTTCACTTTTGGCTAATAATGCTGCCATGAACATTCGTAGGTACATTTTTTTATGTGAACATAAATTTTCTTTTTTCGTTCCTTTTTTTTTTTTGAGACAGAGTCTCACTGCGTTGCCCAGGCTGGAGTGCAGTGGCACAATCTCGGCTCACTGCAACCTCTGCCCCCACAAGTTCAAGCGATTCTCATGTCTCAACCTCCCAAGCAGCTGAGATTACAGGTGCCTGCTACCACACCCAGCTAATTTTTATATAGTAGAGATGGGGTTTCACCATGTTGCCCAGGGTGGTCTAAACTCCTGATCTCAGGTGGTCCACCCACCTTGGCCTCTCAAAGTACTGGGATTACAGGTGTGAGCCACCACACCCAGCCAGTGAACATACATTTTCAATTATCCTCGGTATATATCTAGAAGTAGGATTGTGGGGTCATATGGTAACAGCTACATATTAAACGTTTTGAATAACTGCGAAACCATTTCCCACAGCTGTACCATTGGAAAATGACTACCCCATTTTACCTTCCCCCCAGCAATGTATGAAGGTCCTTTTGTCCATTTCTAATTGAGTTAATGAAGCATGATTTTCAAAGTAAAAACTGGATATGCCCTATGTATCCAAACACAGGAAGTTGGTTTAATACATTATGACACTCCATAGTATAGAATAATGCTGAACGTATTACCAAAAAACGTAGATCTCTAAGTATTAACAGAATAAGCTAGATGAAGAAAGCAAGTAACCCTATTTGCGTGACTACCAAAGCTGCATCTTTGTGTTTGTGCCAGAAAAGTCTGGAAGAAGAAGCAACAAACTGAATAAGGGCAGTGAAAATGCAGAGTGCATGTGATGGGGGTTCAAGTTTCACTTTCTCATCTTCGGTATTGGTTCTTTTAAAAATAAACATGTGGCCAGGCGCGGTGGTTCACGCCTGTAATCCCAGCACTTTGGGAGGCCGAGGCGGGTGGATCACGAGGTCAACAGATCAAGACCATCCTGGTCAACATGGTGAAACCCCGTCTCTACTAAAAATTACAAAAAATTAGCTGGGCATGGTGGCGCGTGCCTGTAATCCCAGCTACTCAGGAGGCTGAGGCAGGAGAATTGCCTGAACCCAGGGGGCGGAGGTTGCGGTGAGCTGAGATCGCGCCATGCACTCCAGCCTGGGTAACAAGAGCGAAACTCCGTCTCAAATAAATAAATAAATAAATAAACAAACAAACATGTATTTCTGTGGGAATTTTTAAGCCATATATTTAGGCAAAACAGTTATCAAAGAAACTCTGTGCTTGGCATAAGGTTATTAGGGGAAGGTTCGAGAATTTCTATGAACTCCTACTACAGAGCAACTTCATGTCAAAACTTGTTAAACGGGGCATTTTGGTCTTTCTTATCAAAATGCTCATCGAAGCACTGGCTCTAGCTGTGAAAAATTTCCTCATCATAAAAAGGATTATTGACAATAAGTACGACAGAATGTACTAAAATTAAATTTAGCTCGTGATATAAATACCAAGTGAAAAGCATCAAGATATAGAAATGTAATCAGTATAATGAACAGTAGGACCTCAGTGATCTCAAATCTATTCTTGCACAAACCAAAATGTAAAAAGAAGTTTCTCTGAGTGGTGGGATTATAGGTGATTATCTTCTTCCTTATACCTTCCCGTCCCCCCAAACTTTCTACAATGCATATGTATGACATTTACAGTTTAACAATGCTTTAAATTTAGTTTGTAGCTTTCCCATGTTTAACCAGTCAGGTCTAAAATGTAGCTATGTGATATGACTTAAGGTCCATATGACTCAAAAATCAGAGTCTCTGTTAAAAAATTGTGTTTTCCAGGAATATGTAATGACATGAAGATGAAAATGCTATTATGTAAGTTAAAATAGTATATGGCATACAATTCCAGTTTTAAAAAATTGCACACATATATCCTTCTAAAGACACTAAAAGAAAACAACATGCCAGCAGATCAGTTATTTGTTGGTGTAGGGCATGTGGGTGATTACTTTCACCTCTTCTTGTCCTTCTGTTTCCAGTTGTTTATTTATTTTTATTTTTATTTTTTGAGACGGAGTCTCACTCTGTCACCCAGGCTGCAGTACAGTTGTGTGATCTCAGCTCACTGCACCCTCTGCTTCCCAGGTTCAAGTGATTCTTCTGCCTCAGCTTCCCGAGTAGCTGGGATTACAGGTGTGTGCCACAACACCGGGCTAATTTTTATATTTTTAGTAGAGATGGGGTTTCACCATGTTGGTCAGGCTGGTCTCAAACTCCTGGCCTCAAGTGATCCACCCACCTCGGCCTCCCAAAGTGCTGAGATTACCGGTGTGAGCCACCATGCTCAGCCCTCTGTTTCCAGTTATTTATAATGAACCTTACAAGCATCTTTTATAATTTGAAAAAATTCAAAATGTAGTTTGAAAAGAAAAACATTGCCTCTCTCTAGATATGGAACATTGGCCCTCTTTTCTACTTGTCTTTCTCTCCTATGCCTCCCAGCCATCCTTTCATTCCTCCTCCACTTGGTGCGGTGGCTTCCTCTTGCCCTCTGTTCCTGTAGCTGCTCTTCTGTCCGGGGTGCATTTCCTCTTCTCCAGAACACAGCAATCTCTTAACCTGGTTTGTTTTCCTGCCATCCGTTCTCTCTCTCTGACCTACTTCTGGAAGCACAAATGCTGGAATAATCCACATAGATGACACGGCTCCCTTGCTTAACAGCTTGTGGCTCACCGTCCTAATGCAATTACTGGGAGTGCTCAGCCGACCTTGCTACTGGCTGCCTTTACAGGGCTGGGGAGTGGGGTGCAACAGTCACTGAGCCCCACGGTGGGCCAGGCTCTGCAGGGCAGGCCCTTTCTTGTTAACTCACCTTTTGTGACAAAACCATGCAGCTTGACCATGCTAGCTTGGAAGGAGGGTTCCAAAGTGTGTATTCACACTACTTACAGACTCAGCTCTGCCGCTGACCTTGAACTTGCTTAATCCACTTGCTTTTCCTCAGCTGCAACACAGATGTCCTGCCTCCCTCCCAGGGTAGTTTTGAGAGGCAAGGGCTGGACACTCTGTGACAGTTGGTGACTGATTTCCTTGTGAGCTGTTGACCCAAAGGGGTGCCCTGTATGCCTTTTGTTGCCTAGAGGTCTCTGGAACTGTGTTGGCCATCCCTTTGCTGTAGGAGTTCAGCCCAACTCATGAGCTCCCCATTCTCTCTCCAGCCCCAAGGTGGGCTCCACATGGCAGATGTTCCTTATCAGAAATGTCCCCACTGTCACCTCCCCATAAATGTATCCCTCTCAAATTTGACTCTTGAAATAATTCAGACCAGGCCGGATGTGGTGGCTCACACCTGTAATCCCAGCACTTTGGGAGGTCAAGGCGGGTGGATCATGAGGTCAGGAGTTCAAGACTAGCCTGGCCAACATGGTGAAACCCTGTCTCTACTAAAAATGCAAAAAATTAGCTGGGTGTGGTGGTGGGCACCTGTAATCCCAGCTACTCGGGAGGCTGAGGCACAGAACTGCTTGAACCTGGGAGATGGAGGTTGTAATGAGCCGAGATCATGCCACTGCACTAGAGCCTGGGGGAAAGAGTGAGACTCCATCTCAGAAAAAACAAAAACGGTGGGGGGGCTTCCTCATAAGGCTTTAGCTGGCCGCCGTGGCTCATACCTGTAATCCCAGCACTTTGGGAGGCTCAGGTGGGCAGATCATGAGGTCAGGAGTTCGAGACCAGCCTGGTTAACATGGTGAAAACCTGTCTCTACTAAAAATACAAAAATTAGCTGGGTGTGGTGGTACACACCTGTAGCCCCAGCTACTCGGGAGACTGAGGTGGGAGAATCACGTGAACCCAGGAGGAAGAGGTTATAGTGAGCCGAAACCGCACCTTTGCTCTCCAGCCTGGGTGACAGAGTGAGACTCCATCTCCAAAAAAAACAAAAGGAACATTCAGACCAGTGCCTCCAAATATCTTTATGTTCAGGGGTCATTTCTTTGAATCTTGACGAAGCTCACTCTTTGGAACACCTACCAAATAGACAGGGCCACACCGGCTGCTTCCTTCCCCATTAACTGCTTTGTCCTCATCGCCAACAATGGCAACCAGAACCCCTTGGTCTCCGAAAGAAATCTAGGCCACAGCACTGACACCTCCCTCTCCTGGACCCCACACACCAAGTCCAGCTCCTTGTCCTTCTCTTTCCTGAGCATGGTCCAAGTCCATCCACTACATTGCTTTGTGGACCTAAAAGGAAGAAGTTGTAGCACGAAACAAGATTTAAGGAGTTTACTTGAGCAAAGTGAGGACAGATGCCTGAATGCTCAGACCCAAGTAACCTTGGACATGATCTCTGTTTGGCCTTTGTTACAAGCCATTTTTTTTTGAGACGGAGTTTCGCTCTTGTTACCCAGTCTGGAGTGCAATGGTGCGATCTTGGCTCACTGCAACCTCTGCCTCCTGGGTTCAAGCAATTCTCCTGCCTCAGCCTCCCAAGTAGCTGGGACTACAGGCATGCGCCACCATGCCCAGCTAATTTTTGTATTTTTAGCAGAGACGGGGTTTCACCATGTTGACCAGGATGGTCTCCATCTCTTGACCTCATGATCCACCTGCCTCGGCCTCCCAAAGTGCTGGGATTATAGGCGTGAGCCACTGCGCACCCGGCCACAAGCCATTTTTTAAAGGCAAAAAAGGGGGACAGGGAGTGGGCTGATACGAGGTTGTCAGGAATTCTCACTGGTTTACAGAAATAACATAGATTAGTGATTGGCTATACATTGTTACACTACAGGGTGTGGGTTATAGTATTCAGTGTGGCATTATTAGGTTATTTTTAGCTACTTGTGCCAATAGCAAGCAGTTCCAAGAGATGAGGCCAGGTGTGGTAGTTCACGGCTGTAATCCCAGCACTTTGGGAGGGCTGAGGTGGGCGGATCATTTGAGGTCAGGAGTTCGAGACCAGCCTAGCAAACATGGCAAAACCCTGTCTCTACTGAAAATACAAAAATTAGCCTGGCATAGTGGTGCATGCCTGTAATCCCAACTACTTGGGAGGCTGAGGCAGGAAAATCGCTTAAACTCGGGAGACAGAGGTTGCAGTGAGCCGAGGGTTTTGCCATGTTTGCTAGGCCACTGCACTCCAGCCTGGGTGACAGAGAGATACTTTGTCTAAAAGAAAAAAAAAAAAAAAAAAAAAAGAGATGAATACGTAGTTCAAAGTGGGGACTAGAATGTGATTGCTGTCTCATTTTTATGTCTCCCTGGGCCTGATAATTTGGAAGGACTTGCATTAAGTTACTTTCTCACCCTTAGTCTAGGACTTCCTTGCATCTTGCCTGAACCACTGCCATAAGCTCCTCTCATTCTTTCCTTGGCATCCTCCCCCGACCCTGCCCCTGCCCCTGTCCCTCTTTCCCAAGGCAGCCATTGTTCCTACCACTGCTGCCACTCAGAGCAGCACGACCTTGCTGGCGCACTCCCTGTATTACTGGCCTTGAGCTACATGCTTTATGCACTGACTCTTATTCTCCTGACCGCCCCGGAAGGGTAGGTTTTAAGATCTTCACTTGATAGATTAGCAAAACCAAACCTCAGAGAGGTCAGATGACTAGACTCAGCGGCAGGCTGGGACCAGGCAGCCAGAGCCTGTCTCTTTAATCACTAGATGCTTGTGCTGCCTCAAGGCTGCCTCCCTGCAGCGGCCTGGGCCTGTCTGTTGACTTCCCTGTGAACAGGCAGGGACCCTGGGTCTGTGGCTGTCAAACGTTTAATAAGTGGGTGCTTGCCTTGCAGGGAACCCACACCACACTTGGCCTCCTGGCTTTGGTTGGGGACAGGCTCCTCTGTTTGCTGACCCTTATCTTTACTCTAAAATTTCACCCTGAGGGGAGGAATGTTTTTAAAAGTTTTAAATTATAGCATCCATTACAACAACGTTTTCCACTGTGAAACCCCACAGAATTGATATTGCGCTGCTAGGATCAATCCTGACTCTTGTCTGCCAGCTGCCAAAAAACCGGTTAGACATGTTAAGTTCAGAAAACCTATTGTTTGATGCTTTCTAACTGATTAAATAAATGAGTTTATTGACCCAGGGGGTTGTAATAGTTGAAAGGTGATAAATTAACTGTATCCCACATGTAGACGTTTGAATAGCTACCAGGGTACAAGCAAGAACAGGTTTTAGAAAGCTAAAACCATTGCTTTTCTCACACCCCCTCCCTTCTTTTCATTTTTTTCAGCTTCATCTTGGGTGAGAGATGTGTGATCAGACCTTCCTAGTTAATGTATTTGGCTCATGTGACAAATGTTTCAAACAAAGAGCTCTGAGACCAGTTTTCAAGAAATCTCAACAACTCAGCTACTGTTCAACATGTGCAGAAATTGTAAGTGCCACTTAAAAAATTTTTTAGTTACCTGTCTTAGTCAAATGAGAGTCCTGTGACAGATGAGTTGCCATAGAATCAGTGTATATGATACACACTTTTCAGTATGCCTGGGCTTGGTGAGGCAGTGTAGCACAGAGGTCCACGGTGTGGACTCTGGTCTGACTGCTTGGGTCCAAATCCTATTTATGTTCCTAGTCAGTGGTGTGCATGGAGGTTCTTGCCTCTCTCCTGAAGCCTGTTTTCCCATCTGCAAATAGGCACACTAATAGCACCTACATCATAGGAGTTTTATGAAGATCAAATTATTTCATTTGATAACTTATTTTAAATAGTACCCAGCAAAGAAAGTGCTCAATGAATATTTTAGCTTTTATTATTTCTTAGGGCTAATACTTTTTTTCTTCTGACATCTCCAAGTCTGCTTGGCAGGCAGTCAAGCTAAAAGAGAATCTGGCAAATAAACAGTATGGGAGCATCTTTCCAAGGACAGGTCCCAGTGGTGTGTAGGTCCAACTCTAATGAAGATGGAATCTTACAGGGCCTCGGTAGTGAGCAAAATTCAGCTCAAAAATACTCCTTGGGCCTAAGCCTTTAACAAAAATTAGAGACGAAATACAAATCCTTGAATTTTTCAAAGTATCCGAAATTAAGTTCTCACCAGAGGTGGCTGTGCACAGGCTTCAGATCTTGCAGCAAAAATGCCCACAGCATCACTGAAGCCCTAGGAATTAGTCCTATCTCAGAGAATGTGCAAAACTGCGCTCATCAGTGCAGCTGAGCAGAGCCCCCACATGGTGAAAAATGGTAAAGCACTCCTCCTGAAAAGCCCAGAAGGAAATCCCCACATACTTAAATAACAACAAAATGCATGATACATCAAAGAAAGGAAAGATGACTTTTACATTTTATCCAGCGGAAAAAGAAAAGGCACTTTTTATCCTCCTGATTCCTTTGTAACCCCTGACAGTGATTACATTAAAAATTATTCCCATAAAGCAGATAGCAAGTAAACAGCCCAGGGCGGCATAAAAAGGCTTTGATGCAGCATAGCAGTTTTGTTGTGTCTTCAGCCTAGGGGTAATGGGCTTCCACCTGTAGTATGTATATTTCTACATTCTACGTTCTAACCTGGCTCTGCAAATTGGAGAACTGAGGACATTTAGTTCTTAAAAACAAACCTGTGTCCGGGCATGGTGGCTCACACCTGTAATCCCAGCACTTTGGGAGGCTGAGGTGGGTGGATCATGAGGTCAAGAGATTGATTGAGACCATCCTGGCCAGCATGGTGAAACCCCGTCTCTACTAAAACTACAAAAATTAGCTCGGCGTGGTGGCGTGCACCTGCAGTCACACCTACTTGGGAGGCTGAAGCAGGAGAATTGCATGAACCCAGGAGGCGGAGGTTGGAGTGAGCCAAGATCACTGCCACTGCACTCCAGCCTGGTGGCAGAGCAGAGACTCCATCTCAAAAAACAAAAATAAAAAAATCATCCTGCTTTCTGGGGGCCTTATCCATCCCCCCATCCCACATTATTTATTAATCTAACTCTTCTGCTTTTTAAACAACTTCCTCTGAAGGCAGAATAAACCTAAAAAATCCCACATTTTGAGTCCTGTGTGGCACATAGTTTCTCCCTCACATGGGGGCCCTGCCTGGAGGTACTCTTCAGGAAACAGTTCCTGGCTAGCTTTACTGTTAGGTTGGTGCAACAGTAATTGTGGTTTTTGCCATTGCTTTAGATGGCATCGAAATACTTTGATACAATCTCTGCTCTCCTCTTGGGGGGTTCCCAAATATTCAGACAGCATCATTCAGCTGAGCAGACATCCAATGATTGACAGCTGGCCCTTCATCCAAGTGTTTGGGATTATGTAGACACAAGCCCCCATTGGGCCCTTTTCATGAATAGGAATGACCCTATACCTCAATCACAGTGGAAATGTAGCTGATGTCAACTTTTCCGACCTCTGGCTTCCTTAGCTGGAGTTAACACCAAAGTACAAGAAGGCACTTGGCAGACTGCCCAGCCATTAAAAGTTTCATGGCCTTGGCTGGGTTTGGTGGCTCACACCTGTAATCCCAGCACTTTGGGAGGCTGAGGCCTGCGGATTGCCTGAGCTCAGGAGTTCGAGACCAGCCTGGGCAACACAGTGAAACCCTGTCTCTATTAAAATACCAAAAATTAGCCGGGCTTGGCGGCATACGTCTATAATCTCAGCTACTTGGGAGTCTGAAGCAGGAGAATCGCATGAACCTGGAAGGTGAGGTTGCAGTGAGCTGAGATTGTGCCACTGCACTCCAGCCTGGGTGACAGAGCAAGACACCATCTCCCAAAAAAAAAGTTCCGTGGCCTCATCTCTAGTTAATTTAGATAGGTTGGAGGCTGTTCAAGGTTTACTTAACACAAAGAACCCGGGGAACACACCAGTGAGAAGTAGGTCTTCACAGGTCTTCACAGACAGGAGGACCCTGAACTATACACACACATCCTGCAATGGTACAAAAAACAGAGCTGATGCAAAGAGGCTGCCTTGCCTGGGGCCCTCGAGATAGCCCTTGTGAGAAGTGTCCCCCATGACTCAGTGTCTCATTTAAATTACCTCATGTGAACTGCACAAGTGTATCAGGCAATCTCAGTAATAGTAACAGATGCATACAGTGTGCCATGCACTGCTATCTCTGAATGCTGTACAGAGTTTGAAGGAGGTGTTATCCCCATTTACAGATGAGGAGCCTGAGACACAGACAATCCCTCAGGCACACGGCAGAGCCAGGATTTGCCCCCAGGCAGTCAGCTCCAGATAGAGCCTTTGCTCTTAACCTTTTGCTCTACAAACCCTCAGACAGGTATAATATTTTTACTTTTATATTTTATTTTTATTTATTTATTTATTTTTTGAGACGAAGTTTTGCTCTTGTTGCCCAGGCTGGAGTGCAATGGTGTGATCTCGGCTCACTGCAACCTCCGCCTCCCGGGTTTAAGGGATTCTCCTGCCTCAGCCTCCTGAATAGCTGGGATCACAGGCATGCACCACCACGCCCAGCTAATTTTTGTATTTTTAGTAGAGATGGGGTTTCTCCATGTTGGTCAGGGTGGTCTTGAATGCCCAACCTCAGACGATCCACCCACCTCAGCCTCCCAAAGTGCCGGGATTACAGGTGTGAGCCACCATGCCCAGCCTTTATTTTTATCTTATACTTAAATAATTGTATTTATGTAAATCATTTATACATTTATTCATTTATTTTTTAACATAGTTTATAAAGATTTATATATTTTATACATTGTTTTATACATCCATTTAATAAACTATCATTAACTGAGCACCTACCATATGCAAGTACTATGCTAAATACCGAGAAACAATGACAAATAAATATACAGATAGGGGCTGGGTGCGGTCACTCACACCTGTAATCCCAGCACTTTGGGAAGCTGAGGTGGGCGGATCACCTGAGGTCGGGAGTTTGAGACCACCCTGACCAACATGGAGAAACGCTGGCTCTACTAAAAATACAAAATTAGCTGGACGTGGTGGCGCATGCCTGTAATCCCAGCTACTCAGGAGGCTCAGGCAGGAGAATCGCTTGAACCCGGGAGGTGGAGGTTGCAGTGAGCCAAGATGGCGCCATTGCACTCCAGCTTGAGCAACAAGAGCAAAACTCCATCTCCAATACACACACACACACACACACACACACACACACACGGGTGGTAATGGAAAAGAGAACTAGCAGCGAATAAGCATCTGCTGTGTATAGAGAAATCGGCTAAAGTCTTCACCCATACTATCTTACCTTTTGTTTTGGTTTGCTTTTTGTTTTATTTTTGAGTCTCACTCTGTCGCCCAGGCTGGAGCACAGTGGCGAGATCTTGGCTCACTGCAGTCTCTGACTCCTGGGTTCAAGCATTGCTTGTGTCTCAGCCTGCTGAGTAGCTGGGATTACAGGCACGTGTCACCACACCAGGCTAATTTTTGTATTTTTAGTAGCGACAGGGTTTCACCATGTTGGTCAGGCTGGTTCCGAACTCCTGACCTCAAATGATCCACCTGCCTCGGCCTCCCAAAGTGTTGGGATTACAGGTGTGAGCCACCATGCCCGGCCCACACTATCTTACTTACTTCTCCTAACAATCCTATGAAGCAGATTCTGTGAAGAAGTTTTTACAGATAAGGAAACTGAGGATCTCAGAATTTAACCTGAAAAACAACTATGTACAGATTAATATCGAGTACGTTCAACTTTTCTCAGACAGAGAGGGCCAGGGACAGCAACTGGAGGCCGGTTCCTCTGGGAGGGAGCAGGTACAGAGAGGTGGGGACAGCACCCAAGATTCTACTTGGCGATGTTCCCGCCAGAATTTGTGAGTTTGATCTGTCTCTCCATTCTCCGCACAAACGCTTGCAAGATCACAGAGGAGGGAAAGACGCGAAGGCTTGGGTTGAATCATTCACACCAAAGTCCAGAGGACTATGGCGCCAGCCTGTCTGGGTCCAAATCCTGTCTCTCCCTCTTTCTCGGAGAATGCCCCCTGAGTCATTACTCAGCCTTTCTGTACCTCAGTTTGCTCTGTAAAGTGGGGATAAGAGTGCCCATTCAAGGTGACGCCTGTGAGGATTGAACAAGCGCGAATTAAAGCACTTAGAACAGTGCCTCTCACACTTCAGGCACTTGGGGCGAGGGGATGCTTCAGTCTGACAGAAGTCAGTACACGTGCATGCTGGGAGAACAGTACCAGCCCTTCATTCTAAAGGGCAGGAGGTGGCCTTAGAAGTGAGGGGTCCGAGGTGTCTGGGCGTGGCTCAGAAGCCCCAGGTCTGAGCCTGCGCGGCCACCGACACACCGCCCACCTCCTTTTACCGCCCGCAGGCCAGGGCCTGATTCCTGAGTGAAGAATCAGGAATCTTTCTTTTCTTTTCTTTCTTCCTGAGTGAAGAAAAGAAAAACTAAGTGTGGCCTCCTAATGCCGCAGGGACCCCTTCTCAGAGGCAGAACTAGTTTTATTTTTGCATATTTCCGTAACAAATGAAGAGGGTTTCCGGTTCCTTGAGTGGGTGGCACTACAGCTACCTGCGGCCAAGCCTCGTGGCCGTCTCCTCTCCCGTCCTCTCTGTGCCTGCGTGAGCCACGGGCCCACAATCAAGTCCCACAGAGCGGAGATCTGCACCCGAGGCGTGGGGATGTGAGGGCCGTGTAGCGGAGACCTCACCGGTCTCCCCAGTAGCGGGGAGTTCTGAGTTAGAATCCCGGCTTGGCCCTTCCTCGGGCAAATCAACCAGTATCCCTGAGCCTCAGTTTGCCCGCCGGTAAAATGGGCGTGGCACTCCCCGCCTCTCCCGGACAGCGCGCACTGCAGCGCCGACGCGGACATCGCCCCGGGCACCGCGCCAGAGCGCGCGCCCAGGTGTCGAGGTCGGGGGGCTCAGGCGCCGCTGCAGGGCCCGCAGCTGCTGGCGTCATCGCGGAGGGCGGGTCCGCGGGGCGGCGCTCGGGGCCGGGAAAGGGGGCTGGAGCGGCGCCCGCCGCGGCTCAGCGCATCCACGCTCTCCGCTTCCTTCCCGGCCGCGTCCCCGCGCGAAGATGGCAACCGAGGGGCTGCACGAGAACGAGACGCTGGCGTCGCTGAAGAGCGAGGCCGAGAGCCTCAAGGGCAAGCTGGAGGAGGAGCGGGCCAAGCTACACGACGTGGAATGTGAGTGCGGGCCGGGAGGCGGGCGGGGAAGGCCGGACCGGCTCTCGACTTCCCGGGCGGGGGCGGCCGGGGCTGCGACGCGAGCCAGGCCCGCGCCACCGCCCGGCAGCAGGGCCCCGGTGCCCGGGCGCGCAGGTAAGGCGCTGGTAGCGGCCCGGAGCCCCGGGGCGCGCGGGCGTGGGACCGGAGGGTCCGGCCGCCTGACAGACCCCCGCCGCCCGCTAGCGGAGGGCCGCGGGACCAGCCGCCCTCATCACCTGCCTGGAAGCAGCGGACTAATCGCGTTCCTGCCCCTCCCAGGCGGAGGGCAGGGGGTGGGGTGTTGGTGGTGACGAGCGAGCGGGCCAGCCCGTGTGGGCGCGGCCTAGGAGAGACTCCTGTTTTGTTTTTTCATCATCTAGCTTTCTCCATCACTGTTGTGTCGGTTCTCAGTTTTGCTTTTCTGAGACTCCAATTTCAGAGCTGATTTTCCAACCTCTGCCCTATGCTTGGGGGCCGGGAGCTGGATGACAGGAGGGAAGAGAAGCGGAGGAGCTCACCAAATTCAGCCGTTCAGTTCGTTTAAGGCTGTTTAAGAAGCTTTTGGATCAAAGCGGTGTGATGGGCATAAAAGAGCCATAGCAACCTTAAACTTCACCATCACCACCGTAATTCAGAACTGGCTCTGTGATTTTTATGAGTGAGCGATTAGATTAAATAGCCAGGTTCAGTGGCTGTCGGCCAGAACAGCGTTCCTTGACTTTGTCAGAGGCTCCTCCTCAGCAGAACATGGGCTGGGGGCCAGGCTTGGGGAAGTGATAGTATCTGCTCACTTTTCAGCCCTGAGGGTGGCATCTCCTCTTTACTGGGCAAGGCCTCCCATGGTGCCCTCCCGCACACCTTGATGTTGTTCTGCCATTCCTAATGGGTGCCACCCTTTACATTCTATTTAGAATGGAAAAATGGGGTTTGTGCTAGGGCCTTCAGCCTTTGATATCTGAAGATAACGTAAGAGAAGTGGATGACCTGAATTTAGCATGTGCTGTGCTTTCCTAGGGGACTCCTCTAAATAGGAGGCACTCTAAGCTTAGAAATCGTGTCCAGCAATCACTAACCATAAACCCCAAATAATGTAGTTATGCAAACTCAGAGTTACTTTTCTTACATAACAACAGCAAAGGTGGATGATCACCTGCTTTTGTTAAGCTGCACCGCACCCCCTCAATCCCCTGCCACCCACGCCTACGCTGTCTATCCTGTCTGGGACCCAGGCTCCTTCCGCCTTTCTTCCCCACACCTTAGAGCAGTGGCATTTGCCCCATGATTATAATATGATCGCCACAGCTCCAAACATCACTTCTGTATCCAAGGTAGGAAGAAGAGGGAATAAGCACACCAATCTCTCTTTCCTCCCTATCAAGAAAGCAAAGCAAAACTTTTCCCAGAAACCCTCCTTGCAGTTCGAGACCAGCCTGGCCAACATAGTGAAACCCCGTTTCTACTAAAAATACAAAAAGTAGCTGGGTGTGATGGCAGGTGCCTGTAATGCCAGCTACTAGGGAGACTGAGGCAGGAGAATTGCTTGAACTCAGGAGGCGGAGGTTGCAGTGAGCTGACATCGTGCCATTGCACTCCAGCCTGGGCAGTAACAGTGAAACTCTGTTTAAAAAAAAAAAAAAAAGAAACCCGCCTCCCTCCCCGGAAGATTTCTCCCCTGGGGAGATCTTTTTCCTCCAGGATCCCAGCTCTCCTCTCTTCCAGTTTCTCAGCCCCTTTGTTTCTTCTCCCTCAGTATCCAGCCTTGAGACTTCATTGGTCAGAACTAGGCCACGAGGCTACTCTAAGGGAGGCCGGGAAAGGTTCAGCTGAGCCATTCCCAGCCAAAGCTTGGTTTCTGTCATCAGGAAGGAAGTGGGGAATGGATGTTGGGAGGCATGAGACAGGGTCTGCCTAATCTCCCTTTGCAAATTCCCATACTCCAAATAATAATGATCATGCTGTTAGTGCCTCTAAAGTATTAATAGGTCGTCTAACTTCTCCATTTGACAGATGAGGGAACTGAAGCACAAAGAAGTTACAGGACTTAAGGAAGGTCCCCTGCTAATAAGTGATGGGACCAGGATTCCCCCTAGGCAGTCAGAGTGCCGGCTCAGGCTCCCTTCGGATTTTTTTGCCAAACACCTTTAAACTTCATGCAGAGGGTGTTCTCCAGAAACTCACTTATTCACAAGTGCAGACTGCACACTTGAATATTTTCAGCTTTTCTGTGAATTTGTAAGTTACCTTAAGACAGAGAGATAGCAGAGATGACACTTTTCAATAGGAAAGCTCAGGAGGCAGATTTAGTCAATCCAAAAGAGGAAGCTTTTTTGTCCTGCCTAGAATAGTGCCAGATTTAGACCCTAAATCTGGCACAATCGAAAGCTAGGGCCAGATTTTAGACCCACAGTGGAAGTATTAATATGTCAGAATTTTTGAATTGGAAAGACTAGAAGTCATATGATTGTGTCTCTCTTGATTCCCCTGCAGTTCCAGACCACTTCTCTTCCACCCCCCATAAAACCTTTGCTCCTTGAAGGTTCTTATCACTCTGTGGACCTCTTCCCCATTGACATGTCACCTGACTTCCCAGCCATGTTCTCTCATTTCTTTTCTTTCTTCCTTTTTTTTTTTTCTTTTGAGATGGAGTCTTGCTCTGTTACCCAGGCTGGAGTGCAATGGTGCAATCTTGGCTCACTGCAGGCTCCACCTCCTGGGTTCAAGCGATTCTCTTGCCTTAGCCTCCCAAATAACTGGGACTGACTATAGACATGTGCCACCACGCCCAGCTAATTTTTGTACTTTTAGTACATGGGACTTTACCATGTTGGTCAGGCTAGTCTTGAAATCCTGACCTCAAGTGATTGGCCTGCCTCAGCCTCCAAAAATACTGGCATTATAGGCGTGAGCCACCACGCTCAGCTATTCTTTTCTTTATTCATCTTTTTTTTTTCTTTTTTATTTAATTTTTATGGTGACGGGGTTTCTCCATGTTAGTCAGGCGAGTCTCGAACTCCCAACCTCAGGTGATCCACCCGCCTCGACCTCCCAAAGTGCTGGAATTATAGGCGTGAGCCACGGTGACCAGCCCATCTTTTTTTTTTTAAGAGATAGGATTTCACTCTGTCATCTAGGCTGGAGTGAAGTGGCGTTATCATAGCTCATTGCAGCGTCAATCTCCTGAGCTCAAGCAGTCCTCCTGTCTCAGCTTCCCAGGTAACTGAGACTACAGGCATGCACAACCACACCTGGCTACTTTTGTTTCAGAATTCTTTGTAGAGACAGGGTCTTACTATGTTGCCCAGGAGGGTCTTGAACTCCTGGCCTCAAGCGATCCTCCTGCCTTGGCCTCCTAAAGTGCTAGGATTACAGGCATGAGCCACTGTGTACCCAGCCAGGTTCTCTCACTTCTTAAGGACTTTGGCATTTCTTAGGACTGTGACTTGAGTCTTCCTCTTGCCCCTAATCCCTGCCCTATCCTGTGAGATGACATGCTGGCCCCTCACCATCACAGCCCTGCTGCACACACTCCTGGGTTCTTGTCAGCACTCAGGATTGCCCTTCTTCCCTCACCTCGAATTGCTGCCTCCAGCTCCAAGCATAGTCCCTCCCTGGGGAGATCTTCCTCCAGGATCCCAGCTCTCCTCTCTTCCAGTTTCTCAGCCCCTTCCTTTCTTCTCCCTCAGTATCCAGCATTGAGACTTGGGCCACCATTTCAGCAACAATCTTGCCAAGCAATGCAAATTTCCTTCTCCTTCTACCTCTTCCTGGGAGCTGCCTGGTAAGACCTTAGCCCTGGGTGAATCTGATGTCTCCTCTCTCTCTTCTGCCAGCAGCTGCTGGAGAAGTGGCACACAGGATGCTCGCTGAGACCATTGTCAGTTCCATAGTCACGAGTTTACCAGGGCTCTCAGAGCTGGATGAAGTTTCTCTGGTCAGCTCTTCACAGTGAAAATTTCAGACTTTCTCCATGCTGCATGGGTCTCTGACTCCTCACCTTCGACCTGGACTCCTTCTCCACAGAAAATGGAAGCTCTAAACTGATCCCTCAGTGTCACACTTCCAAACCCATCTCCACATGCACTGACCTGTCCCCTTCCTGGCTTTGTCAGTTCCCTCCCACCACCAGGCATGTGATCCCATCATCTCTAGCCTTCAGTCACCTTGGCCTAGCAGTTATTCCTGTCTCCACCCCTCCATTGACATGTACACACACCCAAGCCTGTCACTTATTCAACACAATCTGCTGGCCCATTGTATGTCAGGTACTGTTCTCAGCCCTGGGGGACACTGCAGTGAACAAGTCACACCAGCATCCCTCCCTGGCAGAGCTTCCATTCTAGTGCAGGAATCAGAGGACAAATGAGTAATATGGGTGCCAGGCTAGATGATATGCATTAGAGAGGAAAGAACTAAAGCAGAAAGTGGGAAATGAGGTGTGGGAGAGCAGAAGCTTTAGAGAAGGTGACCCAGGGAGGCCTCATTGAGAAGGACTTTTGAATCCAGACCTGAAGGGAGAGAACCAGCACCCTGACTCCTATCTGGAGAGCAAACTTCAAGCAAAAGGAGGCGCTAGGCAGAGGCCCCAGGAGGGGGTGTATTTGGTGTATTTGATGTATCTGAGGAAGAGCAAGGAGGCAGGTGTGCCTGGAGGGGAGTGTGCAGGACAGAGTCTAGCTGCAGGTTATGCTGGGAGGTCATGCAGGACCCCATGGGCATAGGGAGGATTTGGGCTCTTACTCCCAGTCAGTCGGGAAGCCCTTGGAGGGTTTCAAGAGAGGACGGACCTGATTGTTTTACTGGGCTCACTCTGCCTGCCATGTTTTGTGGCAGAACAAGAGCCTGAGGGAGGGCAATGAAGTGTGAGAGGTGAGTGACTTGGGGTAAGAATTCTTCACAAATGTCTATTTCCCTCTTATTAGAGTGCCTGCCTTGGGCACCACTTGCCAGCTCTTGATGGGAGTTACAGCTGCAGGTGAAAG